AGATTGAGGGAGAGAATGTCTGCTCTTGGAGAGAATGATGGATTTGAAGATGCTTTTGTTCAGGCATATAAAAATATTCCAGAGATACTGTCTTTATGGATTATGAAGAAGTCAAGCCACAATTCCTTCCACTGTTGTATTTCCTCTTTAATTTTTTTTTAGTCATACATGGGACCATATTTGAATGAATGGTTTTGCTTTCTTGTCAGCAGAAGTGTTCAAGAAATGAACACCATATATGTACATGAAGCACACAGATGTAGGAGAGTAAAGAAGTCTAACTATACCCTGGCTAAACTACTTGTTGCCTGATGTCACAAATTTTGTGTACCAAACTGCTGCTGGTTTGTTAAGGGGTCCAGGTGCACCAGTCACACCTGAGCAGCATTCTTATGTTGTTACCATCATAAACGCATGGAAAACAATTCCCTTTCTACTTATGTTTGAAGACAATGCTGTTAAATGAAGTTAATAGTTTTTGCCCACCAGGATATAGCATGCAAGAATTCTCAGGAATGGAGGAAAGGAGAAAAGTCTGTGAAGTGACCTGTCAGCAATGCCACTAATGCCAGATAATAACTCTTAATAACTTCTGTTAGTCAGTCAGAAAATAGAACAGCATCTTCAATCTTTGTTTTACATTTCTTTGCTTTAGCATTTGCAAAGTTCTTATTTTGAGGAAATGCAGAGGCTTGGGATAAAAAAAGATGAGCTATTACAGGAGGACTTGGCATTTGTTTTACCAACAGTTGCGTGTGACTCACTGTTGTGTGGTGTTCTGTGTGCTTTTGCATAAGTGTGATTCCAATAATGAATGCATTGAGAACTCGGGTTAATTTATTAGCCAGCAATTTGTTTCTGTGTTAAATTTACTTGTTATTAAAGCACAAATCAACTCTAAGTCAGAAAAGTGATTAATAAGTGTAAATAGGAAAGATCCTGTTGGAATACCTGATGATCTGCAGTACCTGTAAAAGATGCAGATTAAACCCAGTAGAATCTTCTCTTTAGGAGTGCTTATGGCATAACTGAGCAGTACCAACATTGCCATGAGCAGGTCTGGCTCTGAAAGTGCTGCCTTCCAGCTGATTCCTCTGGCCTGCCATGAATGTGCCAGTGAGAACATCCCTGAAGCACTTTTTTAAAATTTTATTTTTTTGCCTCAGAAAAACAAAGAGAGGAAACAATATTCTCCCACTCCAAAAAAAAAAAAAAAGGGAGATAAATCTGTGCACTGACTCTAAATACAAAAAAAAGAGGAGAGTTGTGAGATCTGCTCTCAAGTAAGCTGCTTTATTTGAAGCTTTTTTAGGGATAAGAAGGAAATCTTGGGTCACTCTATTACCTTACCTCTTTCTTTTCTACCTGCAACTTTGCCTATGACAATTGGCATATATTTTACATAAATTTGTTGTTTTCCTTAATAAATTAAAGAAAATCAGGATTAATATGAGGAAAAATTAGACATTTTCAGGAACACATTTAAAAATCAAACTGAACTTTAGAAGACAACATGTACAAAGAGGGCAACAGCTTAGTTCCAGAAACTATGGCTGTACATTTTCAGTGGGTAGCAGTGTAGCATTAGTGTTGCATTTAGGCTCCAGCCAGTTTACACAGTGTCATAAGCTTGTACTATTGATCTGCTGAACTGTGGTACCTTACTTCATGAAATAACTTACATGTAATTCATGCCTGTAAGTAGGCAGCTACACAACAAAGGATTTACTCTGGACTAAAATTTCCAGTAGTGAAGCTGTACTTACATAAGAAGTGGGAAAGAGAAAACCTGGGAATTTGTATTGCACTATGTTGATTCCTCTGATCTCTTTTAGTAGGAAGAGGGAAAATCTTTCTCTTTTCTGAATATCTGCCATCACATGTTTGAGGTAAAGTTTAATTAACAATATTTTCTACAATCCTGTCATGTCTGAAAGTCTGATGGATTGAGTTTTGTTGGAAACGACTTCTTTATTGAGATGAACATGAAAGTAGCATGTGATTAACTGAAATAAAAGTAACAATGCAAACATTTTGTGATGGAAGATAAGAAAAATTACCAAGTGAAAAAAAAATTAACTGACTTTAAAACAAAAATAAAAATCTGAGTTTTAATTCCAGAGAGTATCCCTCAGCAAAAATTTGTGTATGAGAGAAAGTGCTTTTCATGCCAGCAGCAGCAAAACACATATGGTATTAAACATTTGATATTAAATCTGGGAAGATTACCTCATAGTCATAAAAATATTTTTATATACTTTATAAAAGGAGAAGTCTAATAGCCAGTATGGCTGTTCAATACATAAGATATGCATTTGTGTAAACTACATGTACATTTGATTTTGAAAAGGAGAACTCAAAGTTATTTTGAACATCAAACAAAATTACAATATTACCCAAAACATGTATTTGTAAAAATTGTGTCTTTAATAGTATAAAATGATCAGTCTAATTATCAACACTCTTAAAGTACTGTAAGTAAGCTGAAAGGATGCAGCTTATTTAGACTCCTCAGTATATTGTACTTCACTTCATATGATCCCTATTTGGCAATGTTCCAAATATATATTTTGGAACAAATATATATTTTTTTGGAACATTTTCAGGAGAAAATATTCTGAGTTCCAGCTTATATGTTGGCACATTGACCTGGATTTCTGCTAGCCATCCATCATAACTGGCAGCTACTGCATGACTGTGTATAGCAAACTCAACAGGTTTGAGAGATGGATATCAGGAATTAGCAGGGGATCAATCTAAAAGGTTGTGGTTTTAAAAATGTAACTAATCACAGAATAAAAAGGGTTGCTTGAACAGTATATTTTTAAAAAGAGGTTACACGTGTCGTGTGCAATAGATCAAGTTTAACTTTTTTATCATAGAAGTGATTTTCTTAACACTATTCTTATGGAATGGTTTCCCTCTTTTAAGTCTATTTGGATCAGTTGTGATGAATTATCTCTCTATTCTGAGCTGGCAGTGACTGAAGGCACAAAGCTTTGGGGAACCTGGAAAGGTTTTGCTTTCTAGGTGTTCCATCTGAGAAAAAGATGAAGAACCTTTATCATTGTGCAAGGGTTTTAACTTTGTTTTCAGTTCAGCAGATTGAAAAATGCAGGAATCTTTCTGCTGTGAATGAATTAGATCCCATTTGTGGGAACAGATGGATCACCATCTTTTAATCTGTTGTTTAATCTCATGCTAGTGAGATTTACATTGTACCTCAGAGCTCTAGAGGAAAGCAAGATAATATTTTCCAAATTACCTACATGGAATGGATAAAGTTTGAGGTGTCTTAATATATGATGTTACAAAGGTTGCTAAGACTTTAGGCTGGTTTGCTTATAAATTCTTTATGTTAATAAGCATTTTCCTAAGGATGTTCCATTTTCTCTTTATTTCAGTAATTCAAATTCAGTTGAATTTTAGGGATGATGTGGTGACTAAAGATTTTTCTCAGTCTTACAGACATTTATTTGTTTCAGGTTATTTCCTCACAGGCAAACTGTAAACCATTACAAACAGCACTAAATTGCAGTCCCTTTCAAACAAGAAATATGCCAGGACAACCAGCAAAAGGTGTACCTGTGATTTACACCAATCAGAGGGAGATTAAATCTAGCCACATGGGGTAGTGACAACAGTACATTCTGAGTTCTGCCACTGTAAAATCTGCCTACAAAGCTCAGCAATCACTTAGGAAATCAACAGTTTTGCAATTGAGCTCATGAGGAAAAAGTCTTTGGTACTGGAGTGCCTGGTCTTGTGGTCTAGGCTCCAAAATCAGCCAGACTGGGGATTGTTCTGGAAAGCACAATGTAGATTAGAATGTATATTCAGATAAACTGCTGCAAATTTGTGGTGGCAAAAAAAAAAAAAAAGAAAAAAAAAAAAAAAAAAAAAAACCCCAAAAAAAAAAAAACCAAAAAAAAAAAAACAAAAAAAAAAAACCAACCAAACAAACATATAGTCCTGAAATGCTGTAACATTATATCTCATAGTGAAAACCTGGTTAAACCTGCAGCCTGACACTTGAGGCATACTTAGGGAGGTTCTTATGGTTATGTTGGATTGAAAGGTGACTGTTCTGTCTGCCAGACACACCCAACACATGAAAGAAATGTAGAGCCTGAATTGTTTTAAAAAATAAAAGCATCCTTCCCTCGATGTTAAAGAGGAAAGTTAGAGTTATGTGCTTTCAAAGTAAGTCTGTCACAGAGCGAGGAATTACTTAAAGGGAAAAAAGCCCTGGTTTTCAGTCCTGAGTAAGTTGCCTGAGGTTCATCAGAGCAAGCTGTTTGTTATAGGTGTCTGCCATTATAATAATTTTTGGCAGCAAAATTCCATTTGCTCAGTGTTCATATTTCTGTTTTAAAGGCATCTAACTCCCCTTGCTCCCACATGAGTTTCAGTGGGGATAACTAGTCATTTTGCTGCTTAACAATGGTATTTCTAAGTTTTTCCTTCCATGGGTCCCTCAATCTTTTGTTTCTTGGTGTACTTCTGAATGAATGATTCTGGATACATGGACTTCAGGTGGATTCTGTTGCCTTTTATCTCACTTTTCTGTGTCCATTACTGGCATGGTCTGTGGCCAGCCTCCCTGAATATTAAACAATTACATGAACAAATTGCATATCAATCATATGAACAATTGTGTCAGTGCTAGATGAGTTTCTAGATGGGGATTCTGTGATTTAATCCTCCTCTCTGCAATAGAAGCATGTTTCCTGAACACGTGAGCTGGCACGTGGAAAGCTTGCCCAAGTACTTCTAAGTAATCAGCCATACAAATTTGAAGTCTACATTTACATTTGAAAAAATATAGTCCTGAAATGCTGTAACATTTTGCATCTTATCAGTGTTACTGTCTTCTACATTTATTTCAAAGAATATTTTTTGACATATCTGTCATTCAGCCCAAAAAGGCCAGAAGATCAAATGAGTCAAAGGTTCTGCTGGTTCTTTTTTTGTATCTAATATTTATTTTTCTTCACCAGGTGATTTGTATATTGGAGGAGTGGCCAAAGAAATGTTTAAATCCTTGCCCAAGCTGGTGCATGCAAAGGAGGGATTCCAAGGCTGCCTTGCATCAGTTGACTTGAACGGACGGCTCCCTGACCTCATCTCAGATGCTCTCTTCTGCAATGGGCAGATAGAAAGAGGATGTGAAGGTATTAAATATGCTGGTTTTGTTGTTTTTTGGGTTTTTATACATACATATATATATATATATATATCTCATAGTGAAAGTACTGTGCCAATCCTGCAGGGCTTTTTTGATATTTACACTCCATATATCAAGAGACTATATTTTACCTGCTTCTAATTGATCTTGCTTCACCCTTTCTTACATAAAGGCTGTGTTTTTTAGTATTATGGGGACAGGCATATGCTGCCCTAAAGCACAAAGATTAATCTGAGAACACAAGTTAACTACAGATTGTTAAATGTAGATTCCTTACTTCCCAGTAGCAAGATTTTTTTGCATGTGTTTTGTTTACTACTGATGTATTTTAATTAATGATAACAACAGTAACAATTAGCTTCAATGAAGTTCTTTATATCTTCATAGCACTCAGGCATTAGTTAATGCTGAGACCTTAGCTAAGTAATTCAAATTTTAAAGCAGACATTTTGAGTTGGTTAATTCAAGGCTAATTTATGAAACTTTTTAATACCAATCTTTGTATTTTTGCTCACCCCTTAGATTAGTATTGACATGAACCTTTCTATCTGAAATCGGTAGCAGACAAATATGTTTTATCTCACAATATTATTTCCTTATTGACTCATCTGGTATATCATGAAATTTAAGTGAGGACAGAATTAGAAGAAGTGTATTTCTAATTCAGGAATGTCAATCTCTAGCTATTTTTCCAGCTGTCATTTGATCCCACATTATTTTTACTATGGTTTATGGAATAATTTGAATACATTTTCTGTCCCTGCATCTCTAATTTATTCACATAATTCTGGATTTTGTGTTTATGTTCAATTTTATATGTTCTCCCTTCTCTCAAGTGCCATTCTTCTCTGGACAGAAAAATGTGTAAATGACATTATAAAATCTATTTCAAGTTGGAATCTTATGATTTTGATATCAAGTTTGTTAAGTATGCAAATTGACATTGTGAAAATCCAAGGAAAGCTGGGGGGTGTCTCAAGTTTTAGGAGATAAAACTTCCTGGTGGATAAAGTCTGTCTCCTCTTCTGTTGTGCCTGCAGTGCATTTAGACATGTGCAACATTTTTGTTCTTTACCTGCTATTTTAAATTAGTAATGTAAGTTTTATTGTTAATACATAGAAACAGACACTAAAGCTACAGAAAAATAGAAGATGGGAATTTTGCATATGTCTTTCAGGAGTGCAAAAATATGTATTAGTTTGCCACTGAGTTTAGAAAATTAGATTCTGCTTTCTGAATGGTTTTAGCAATTCCATCCCTGCACCATCCCTCCAGACAGTCAAAGTATGTCTTAATTCTATTATGCATTTCATAGCTTCTTTTGAAATTATGTAATTTCCTAAATGAATTTTCTGTACTTCAAAGAAATAATGCCATGGGCCTGGTGTGTGAGTTCACCTTTTAAACCAGTGGCACAACTCAGCTATCAGTGGATTTAATAAAGCTACCCACAATTTAATCAAGGCCATAAAGCTATTGTCCTTTTTGGTAGAGAGTGAGTTTTTCCAACACCAAAATCACCTGACACAAGAAACTGGTCAAACCAGATGTGCTGCCTGGCTCCCAGGGAGCTGTCTCCTCAAAAGTTTTCTGCCTGCAGAAGGAAATCTTTAACAGCATGGAATGAAATATCCCCTTCCAACCTTTCTGCTTAACCTTGCAAGTTATCTCTTCCATCTCACTTGTTTGCTTCAAGTCCTCATGTCTGACCCATCTGTCAGTTTTTTGTTTGCAGACCGTGGATTCAGATTTCCAAAAAAGTATTCAGCCAGCTAAAATATGATTTAGGTCACTTGTGAATTCAGGTGCCTTCTAGGAAACCCTTGCATGCCTGAAGCTGGTCCTGCCTCTGCTGCTGTGTCCAGCCAGGATGTCTCCATCCTTACAGAGCTGAGAGTTGTGCATCAATCCCACCTGCCCTGGAAGTCCTCTGAGACATCGGGTCCAAAGAGCTCAGGACACAGCAGCAGAAGTAATTTCAGAAGTGTTAGTCACCACCGCTTTCAGTTCTGAAGACAGCTGGTATATACCCAGGGTTAAGACATCAGGTTCTGCAAAATCTGTCCTGAGAAGTGAGGCACTTGGATTTGTTGTTTTCCAGATTTATGGGATTGAATTCCCCATATTTCAGGTAGATATCAGGGGGGAAAAAACCCCAACAAATCTTATTCTCTCTTCTGTCAAACTCTCAAACTCTGAAGCCATAATGTATTTCTAATTAATTTTATCTGTTAGATTTTGTACTTAAAATATTTCTTTTTCTCAATAATCTGAGGCTCATAAGTGTACTAAACATTTTGAGCCAAACCACCCATGGGATTGCTCTGGCAAATTGGAAGGTTTGCCTTTTGAAGCTTCAACCACAGAGAGAGATATCTCTATCATTGAACATGAAACATAATTTACACTTGGCAGAATCCACCTTCTTGACAAATTTTCAATGGCTAGAACAGATAGAAGCTAACAGCTAGAAAGATAAATATGCTAACTAGCTCTTTGAATTGTTAATGGCAAACCCCAAAGCCAGGTTGTGTCAACACAGTTTTCCTCCAGTCAAATCAACTGTACTTCCTTTTCCCACTTAAAACAAAGTATGCTACAATCATAGTTTTTATATAGTTATAAGAAAAATGCACTGTGTGTATACGTGTATATAAAATACGTGCATATAAAATGCAATTTGTGTATTATATGAACTACATGAAAAAAAATCACAGCATCAACATACATGAGGATTCTTGGTGGTAAGATAAGAAATTTGTTTTAATAGTATATTGTAAAACATATATGTGTCAGTTTATAATGCTTATTGTGATATATATTGCATGCAAGCCCTCACATAGGACAAATGTAAAGGGGATCACAAACTCAGGCAATTAAAAAATCTGCAGTGAAGACTGAATAAATTAGAATATTTAAAAAATTGAATGTGAACACAGAAAAAGTGCTAGAGAAGGGTGTGTTACAGTATTTTTAATAACTATCTTAGTAGTTCAATAAATAAATGTATATATAGGAAAATATGAACTTGTTAGGGTAAATATCGTAGTATTTACCACCATTAAACAGTTGTCTTCTGTTCTTTGGGGAAAAAGTAATCCTACTTTTGCTAAAAGAAATGCTTATATGCAAGCTAGTCTTGATAGCAATTTTAGAATAATGACTAATATAGATAAGCCAAGAGTGTTAAGAATCAATTTAATAATAGTTAAAAAAAAAAAAACAACACAAACCCTCACTTTTTTTGGCAAAATTCTAGCTATATTTTTTTCTAAATATGTATTTTCACATGCACTTCCTAATGTGCCTACAGGGTCCTGCAGTTTATGTACTTTCAAGTCCTTGTGACTTCTGCTCTACTTTTGCAAAGATGAGGAAATTCAACATTGCATAACTAAAGTGTAAATAAATCCATGAATATATAACATTTAAACACCTACAGATATTTTCACTTCAGCTTTGTAAAGTTTCCTAGTAGCAGAATCTGGTGAGAAAAATTGTGTCTTGTCAGCTGCGGGATTCTGTCATTTTAATCCTCTGCTCAAGAAAGGGTGATGTAATGCCCAAATGTCTAAACTTCTGGGCTCAGAACTCCAAAGAAAAAAGAAATCACTATCTAATGTCTGCCTGCTGCAGTCAGCTATAGATGGTGGTGGTATTTTTTATCTAAATAATAATAGTAGTCGTAATAATAATAATGATAATAATAGTATCCTAATGGGATAAAATATATAAGAAGTAATAATTTTGCCAGGACAGGGATGCAGTGTACCCTGCCCTCCCTCTCAGTGACTTTGATGACTGTTCAGGCCCTGCTTCAGAGATTGAGCTGTGCCTCATTTAAAGGAAGAGGCCATGGAGCTGACTTAAATCATATTGATATGGATTTCCTTAAAATACCAGCAGATCAAAAGAAAATCCCACACTGAGATATTTGAAGGTCTAATGGAAAAGAAGGGTTACGAGGATTTCTCTCTGGAGTGTGATTTTTAATTTATTTATGTAATCTTTGGACCAGCTTTGTCCCTTTATCATCAGTGACTGGCTGTGGGAATTTCAGACAGATATTGAGGTCCCTCCCCAAAACAATTTGGGACAATTTTATAATCCCAGAACCAAATTTTTCCTTGTAGTGTGAAATTTGTGTGAGAGCTCATAGTAAATTGTGGTTTACAGTCTGTATTTCAGTCTTCATTCACCAGGCACAGAGAGAGGCCTGGAAAAGGCAGACCAGAGGATGATGGTGCTAATTATTCTTGAATTCACTGTATCTGAACATGACAAAGGGCTAGTCAGGATTCAGCCATGCATTTACTCTGTTAATGCATTCATAGCTATCCAAGGAAGAAAAAACCCCACACTTTTAATTTTCCTCCATTACATGTCATCAGCTCAATTAACCATTATATTTCTAGTAAAATACTGGCAAATTACTGCTTTCTTATTTTGGCTTGCCTGAAGATTTATGGCTATTAGCATTAATTTGTTTGCATTATATGGCATTTCTTTCTCTCTTTAACAGCAGCATGCACTTTATTCTGAATGGTTTTTTTCTGTGTTTGCTGCCATTTCAATATTGCTTACTAACATTTACTATATTTTGCTTTTTTTTTTATTTTGCTGACAAAGTTGCATTGATGAAAGCTGATTTGCAAGGTAGATAGCCCTGTGTGTATTAAACAAGACTGAAACCCCCAATGCACAGTTGGATTTCTGCAATAAATGCTCTGTACATTTCAGAACTAAAGTGTGTTATTTCGTTGCTGATTTTGCCTTTCACACCTCTAAAACAATGGGCTAAATGAACCTTCTTTTTCCAGCATGGCTTGCATAAAGGCTTTCAGTCTTGAATATGTTTGTATAGTGATTGCTTTAGTGCTTTGATCATTCCTTTTTGAAATTTCTTTATATTTCAGTAGTCTATTTACGATTCTCTAGAAATAGAGTAGCTTTGTTTTTTCATGTATATGTCACATTTTTGGCATGCCAGTTCATTAGTAGTCTGATTTTCTGCATTTCCCCTTTTAGAAGGAACCTGCATGGGATCCCAAAGCATGTGAATTGGTTCTTGTCAACATTCCAGCCAAAGAATCCCAAACTGCTCTGAATTTCAAATCTAAATAATTTAAAATAGTTTGTGGGATTAATATAATTGTAATAGCATAGCTTCATTTTATTATTTCTTAAAACTTGTTTCATTTTTCTATTTCATAATTCAGTCTTTCATATCCCAGAGTTTTGATTCCTGTGACATCCGGCTTTGCTGTTTGAAATGTATTTACAGGAAGAAATAATGAAGTTTTTAGACAACTTTTAGCCAGTTAATGGTCTGACATGAGATTAACAAATAACTGACAACAAAGTTAATATTCCCACTGTACCTGGAATAATTCTGCTTCTGTTTTGTGCAATCTTATGTGTTTGACATAGTGATCTTACAACTGAAGCAAATCCCCCCCTTTTAATGTTACATGCTGCTCCAAAACCAGTGAGTTTATGTGCGTTTGACTTGGTAACTCTTTGCTCATTTGATTTGAGATGTTGGCAACTACTCAGTGTGGCCCACTGGGAAGTACCTTTCTTTGGGAGATGAAGTGCAAGTCCTTTTTTGTGTGTTCTCATTAGGCCCCAGCACAACGTGCCAAGAGGATTCCTGTGCAAACCAGGGCGTGTGCCTCCAGCAGTGGGATGGGTTCAGCTGTGACTGCAGCATGACCTCCTTTAGTGGACCATTATGCAATGACCGTAAGTACATGGAAAAATGTCCCTCTGAAAACCTGAAGTAACATTTGAAGCAAGTGCCTAAAGCTTTATGTTGTTTTAATATTAGACATTTAACTGGGCTGGTAAACCCTGTGAAAATCTGTAAGGCTTGTGGTAAGAACAAAGAATATGCTTTATAAATTTTGGAAAATGTGCAGTATCAAACACAGGCAGAACTTGGTTTTGTTGCACTTGATTCCAAGTCCAGTATACTGATGGTTACCTGTTTGATGCAGTCCCTTTCCTGCCTAAATATTTCAAATGGATTTTTTTCCTGATTGAAAACACGTTTTACATTTTGTTATCTTAATGTAGCACTATCACAAGGGCTATAATTACTGTGAAACAGTTGAGAAGGCTTATTATCTCCCTTTGTGGATTTCTTTAGGTGACACACTAAATATGCCAATAATAAAAGCATGCTGAGTATTTTAGTTCTTTTAGATTTCATCTGAATAACATGCAGCAACCATCTGGTCTTCCAGGAAAAGCTTAAATGTGTCAAAAATAAGGGTCCTGATTCACCAGCTTCATAATGTAGTTTTATTCCAACCTAACCTTATTGATCTAAATAGAATTATGCAGGAGTAATGGTAGAATAATAATGGAGAGCCATAATGTTCCATGGTAAATGATAAAAGTAAGCTGCTGATTTTTGGTTTGAGTTTATCACATTTGTAATATCCAAATGTTGCACATTTTTATACCCATAAGAAGACTGAATTGCTTTAAGGCATTTTTATTTCTGTTTGTATACATTTATCTTTAGAAAAATTACTGACAATAGGAAGTGTTGTATAACTACCCAGTCAAGTATTCTGTATTTTTCTGTCTTGTTCTGGTTCTCCACACTAAAGCAAGGCATGCCATCTTGACAGACCCAAAATCAGCAGAATATTTAAAATCTGAAATGCCATTTGCTCAAATTGTGTTCATGACAGGGCTAGAAAATTAACTGTATGCAAAAGCCAGTAATTTATTTCCATGAAAGTTCTGTAGTTTGAAAACTAGAGAAAGGATGAAAGGACTTATTCTGTTTCTCTGCAGTTGCTCTTATGGTAGAAATAAAATCTGGTATTGGAAATTCTTCAATGATTTGAGCAAAGGTTTGGGTTTACTTTATATATATGAGTTCGCGCTTGTCAGCAATGTACATGTCATATAGCTAAACATATGATTTTACAGTTTCATCCCCCTACTTACTACAAGAGAAAAGTGTTTCTGTTTTGCTTTTACATTGTTATTTCTGTTTTGTAATCTTTTGAGTTGTTTCAGAAGTAACTAAAACCAACCTGTGAATTATAACATCTAGCAAAGGAGAAACTCATAACTTTTAGTAGAAATTGTTGTGTGGATCTGGAATATTCTATTGATTATTTCTTCAAGTGACAGGTGATGCATAAATCTGGCAAATTGATGAGCTTATTTAAGAAAGATATTTACCTGTGAATACTCATTTATACAGTACCATCATAGATTACACACAATTGCACACAATTGAGATATTTCACAATATGCCACAGCTGATGATGGTAGGAGTCCTTTTAGAAGCTGGTTGCTAAAAATACTTACTTTATTCCCAGAAAAAAAATATTTTAAACTGTTTTTTTTATGGTTGTTGTAGTTGAAATATAAATTTAACCTCAATACGGATGTTTTGGAATAGAATGCAGAGTCTAGCAAATATAATATATTTTGTTTCTGCTTTTTCTTGGCTCCTTAGATTAGTTCAGATACCAAAAAAAAAAAAAAAAAATCTTCAAAACCCATATGATAAGAGAGAATTTTTGTAGCAGTAAATGTGCCAGAAAGGAGGAAAAATTATGTCAGTGTCATCTGCATGCTCTGAGCCTGCTCTCTGCTGTGTTTGGGAAGAGCATAATGGGAAGAGAAATGATGAAATGATGAAATGTTACTACATAGTCTCAAAGGTGGCCCAGGCTGCACGCCACAGACTAAACTTCATGGCACTGAAATAAGACAAATTCCCTTCATATGAGGAAACCTTCCAGCAACAGGTCTGGAATAGCAGCTGCTTGTTGCTGAAAATGCATCCCCTTCAGGAAGGATGTAGGCACCTTCCTGAGCATCTTTCCATTGCAGATTGTGCGTGGAGCAACACTGGTTGACAGAAGCTCAAATTTAACCCAGTGCTGCTACTCAGGCAGGCCCTAGGCTCACTTTACAAGTGAATATTCTGTTTTATATAAAATGGAAGGCATAAGACATCAAAATCTCATAGACAGATTTTTTTTTTAGTCTCAAACCCCAGCAATTGACCACTTAAGTGTCAGTGGTAATAAGAGAAACAGTTAGAAGTATTTAGTTAAGGTGATGGTATCTGTATGAAAACACAGTTAGAAAGTGTGCCATTCTTGTCAAAATGCTGGACAGATGAAGGAGGAGGGAACAAAACAACAGAGAATAGGGAGTGGGTGTTCAGATGGGTTTCGCTCTCAGCCAGGATTTAACTCATCACACCTCACCTCGTGTTTTGCTCCACGAGCCCTTAGGGGACATATCTTATTAGAAATTTCAGTGATAAAATTGCCAAGGTGAGAGAGGAGCTGTCCAATCCTTCTGTTCACAGCAGAGTCAGATTGCCCAGATTATCTGGGTCCTCTACAAAGATGAAGGCTCCATAACCACTCTGAGAAACTGGTCACAGTGCTCATTCACCCTCACAGTGCAAATATTTTCTTAAAATTTAAATTATATTTAATATATTTCTGTTTGTGCCTATTGCCTCTTGTTCTGTCACTGGACACCACTAAGAAAAATCTGTCTTTGCCTCATATACATCAATTATTTCATGACATTGATGGATCCCCACTGAGCCTTCTCTTCTCCTGGCTGAGCAGCCCCTGCTTCCTCACCCTCTCTTCATAGAAGAGAGCTCTTGATGGCCTTTGTGGCCCTTTGCTGGGTAAACACAAGTTTATTCCTGTGTTTTCCTGTTGTTCTTGCACTGGGGAGCCCAGCACGTGGGAGCAGTGCTCCAGATGCATCTCAGCAGTGCTGAGTAGAGTGGAAGGATCAGATCTCTCAAACTTTCTGCAACATTTTACCACCATCTCTCACATCTCTCAACCATTCTGCAATATTTTACCACCAGCAACCAGTGTTAGGCTTTTTTTTTTCTGCCACAAGATCACATTGCTGACCCACGTGCAAATTGCTCACTATCAGGATGCCCAGATTCCTCTCTGTCAAGCTGTTTTCCAGCTGGTCAAGCCCTAGCTTGTCCTGATGTGAGGGTTTATTCCTCCCCAGATGCAGGATTTGGCATTTTTTTAGGAGGTTCTTGTCAGTGCATTCCTCCAGCTTGTCAGCATCCCTCTGAATGTCAGCACACGCATCTGGTTGATCAACCACTCCTCCCTGCTTTCTATCATCTGCAATTTGCATAAATGTGCACAAATTACCTTGCTGCATTTAAGCTGATGCCTTCTATGCATTTCCCATAGTAACTCCAGAGCATGAAGATCTGACATGCATTGTTCCTGGGCTTTACAGTGCAAATGTTTCACTTGTATCATTCTCCTCTTAAATCCGCAAAACAGGAGGTGTGGAGGAAATAATGAAAGAAACGGTTTCATGGAATGTGTTACAATACATTTCACTGTGCAAGATATTTCTTTAATTTTTGTGATAACATCTACATATTACCCTATGCTGTTCAGTGTACTATTGGAGATAAATATGGGGAAATTAAAATGAAAACCTTTTTTTAAGTTGACTCATAATGAACACTGTTTGAGGCAGATTGTTTTCTCTCCTAGTCCTAGAGTGTCCTCTGTGTGTCTGCTAGGGAAAAAGGAGAAATTTAGGGAATGCACCTCTACAGAAAATGAACTGGGTCAGCTAAATGTAAGGCTATAGTTTTTAAAGTGTAGTCAAGAGCAGCAACTAAAAAAAGTTGCAAGATCTCAGTAGTCCAGTGAGTATGAAGTGCCTGTAGACCCTAATCCTTCGTGGTGGCAGAGGTGGGAACTTTCAGTGAGCTCTCTGCTGGAAGATAAACATGGCGGGACAAGCTTAGACCCCAAGATGCTATCAGATTAATAATTTTTTTCCTTTGATGTAGTATGACACTTAGAGATTTGGGGCACCAATGCTCTTTAGGCATGATAGATAGAAGTGTTACACTGATTAATGTAAAGCTTGCAGTTGTGGTTTTTCCTACAAGTGCTATCATAAAGAGGCTGAACTAAAAGGACGATTAGTGGCTGTTTTTACAAATGAATGCATGTCCAATGGGAAAATACATCATGAACATTGTAACCATGTCTAACAGCAGGTTTTGTAGTGAAAGGTATCCTCCCAGGAAAGTCATCTTTTCTTTTATGTTTTGGTGTGGGTTTTTTTTGTTTGGTTTTTTTTTGTTTGTTTGTTTGTTTGTTTTTTTTAATAAGAATAGGGTTGAAAATTACTTTGGCACAGCAAAACAAACCTATAAGAGATTGTCTGCTTTCTATAAGTTTGTAAAGGTTTATATTCAGGCAGTCTTTCAGTACAGCCTTATTAGTGAATGTAATGGCATGTTTGTGGAAACAAATACTGCTATTATGGCATGGAAAATAGCAGACATAATAACATTGTCATATTGCATTAGTACATGAGTGTTCTGTGCCAAATTGCAGGGCAGCTTCAACACTGTCTGTTACCTTAAAGGAATAATGTATTGGTGTTGTAGTCATGATAACTAACACTGTGTCAACACTGGCACCAAAATCCACTTCTGAAGGGTTAGTGCTTCAGCATGCAGTCTCTCCTGGCTAGGAATTCAACATTCTCAGTCACTGTAAGTATAAAACTCTTTTAAAAAGGTTCTTTTATTTTATTGTTACTGTTTATCAAGAAAAAAATCAAAAACCCTAATTTAAAGGGAGAGTTCTGTCAGTATTATAAACATGGCTTCACAAAATAAGTTTGATTTTTTTTTTATATTTGTTTTTATTGCAGATATACCTTTCAGCTAA